AGATAGAGACTTCATTAAGACATAGTCATGGGTTCTAGAATTCCAGTTAGACTCATGAAGTGTCTTGCCATGGGCATAAGTCTTCAGTTGATTTGTGCAGGACATTGCCATGGGACCCAGGCTGTCCGTTGGATTCTTTTGTGTCTTCACTGTATAGACAGATCTCCCATACTCCTTTGCAGTTGACTGTTTGGATGCATATTATAAAATAACTCTACAAATTATATGTCCTGTAATTCATCTTTTCCCTGACCACAGCACCCAATTCTTTGTAATATTTATTCTTTCGTTTCTTCTAAGTGAGATATCTCTTAATTATTCTTTTAAAAATTGCCACCAAACCATGACAATCTTATTTCCCATTTGTAATGCTTTATTTTTTTCCTACACGTTTTAGAAACTCCTAGAATAACATAGAATTGAGGCTAAGGATATAGCCCAGTGGCACAGTGCCTGCCTGGTAAGTGCAAGGGCCTAAGCTTGATTCCTGGTACCAAAAACGAAAACCAAACCAAAACCAAAACCAAAACCAAAACCAAAACCAAAATAAAACAAAACATATATATATATATATATATATGTACTTTTAGCATGCTTTTCTTTCTCTCTTTCTTTCTTTTATTTTCTCCTGTGCTAGAGGGATAACATAAAGAATCTTTACCCAAGCATCTAGAAAGGTGTGTGATATATAGTTATTTATGTAGTAGATATTTGGTGAATGTATCAGTGAATGAATTAATAGATTCATAATGAAATCCTTCATAAACCAAACTTTTGGTTGACAGCTGAATAGATGCTTTCTGAATTAAAATCAAAACTACATTGTAGTAGCCACAAGAATAGGACTCAACTGAACACATTGAATATAATACAGTATAATTTTATATCCAGTCAAAATATTCAGTTACAGTGTGATACCGTAATCTCATGCCATATTCAATGATTTCATGATGTCAAAATATTGGGTGTATTTCTTTACTGAAGATTAACCTGACAAATGTTTTCCCATGTCATCAATTATAATATGGCAAGTTTACTATTTCAGACAAAATCTGTGTGTTGAGTATAAAAAAGTTCATTAAATGACTTAATAAGCTCTAGTGTTTGAAGTTCAGCATCTTTATAGATTTGAATGAGTCTTTTACATAAACTTCTTCCACTTTCTTTAACCATTCTAAGGAACCTTTCATCTAAAATGCCTTGTCAGGCAAACTATAACCACATACAGTTAGTATAAGAAGCACTTCATATTAAAAAACTTCAATGTTGTGACACGATCTGACAATACACATTGGCTCTAGAACTGAAGAAAGCATCGTTCTCAGTTTATAGCACAGTAAGGGAATAAAAACGTGATTGTACTAGGAAAAGAATTTGTGTCAGGTTTAATATGAAGCTTTACATTTCGATTACTTTTCATCATTGAACAAAAAGAATGCTATACATTCTTAAATTTTTAACATTAAAATTATTACATCATGAATTCACACACAGAACAACAAATATATTTATAAATTTGTATCTTAATTTAGATTAATATCAATCTAATATTTCTAATAACTGATTTTATTTAAGTGGTATTTTAGTACAGAATAAAACACATCAATCATTATAGAGTTTTATACAATAGTACCACTGGCAACAATGAAGACAACTTATATATACATTACGCTCTTCCCATCTATTATTGCCTGTTAGATAGTAAGGTCTGCAGCTCCAAGTAGTTTTTCTGCAGTCAGACAGGACATTTAGTATGTGACTTCGCAATGTTGGTGAAGATCATAATATTACTATATAAAATTCTATTAGGACCTTTTAAAAGTAAAGATAAGGTTAAAGTTTTTAAATGATTGATCCGAATGTTCTCCTCAGCAACTTTAATATATGAATACAGTAGATAATGTCTTTGTAAAACCAAATTTGTTTTTCAATAAATATACAAGAAACAAATTATCCAGAATAAATACAGCAAATTTATTTAGGTATTGCTACTGAGATAAAATACATTTTTATACAAATGTTATTTTATTGATAAGTGAAAGAATATATACTTTAAAAATGTAATAACAATAATATAAGATTGATTATAATAAAATGATACTATGAATGATCACTATTGATTAATAAACTGTTAAACCATGGATGTGCTTCTCATGATATAATTATACTATTTCTCCTTTTTAATATACTATTTCTTCTTTCAACTTAAGAATACATAAATGGCAAAACCCACTACATATCCCTTCACAGAGGGGAATATTCCCTTGACTTATTGTTTTGTGGGAGATATATTTCAAAACATTCAATGCTGTTTATCTAATTGCAGTTTTTGTAAAGGTCAGTAAATAACAATGTATAAACTATTAGCTTGAAATTTAAAGCAAAATATTTTGTATTTCATAATAATTTTCCACTTATAGGTTGCCTGTGGATACTACATATTTCTGAGTTACTCAGTTTTATAATTTTTGGGCATCTATTTTATTCAAGGACCTTGTGTTTTCACATGTCAATTGATATTTGATGCACAGAAAAATCATATCAAAATTTTAAAACTATTCTTAAATTATTTTATCTTAAACCCAAGTACTTAAAAATATTTTTGGAGGTTTTCTAACTAGTCTATAAACCCACACAAAATGCATTTCATAATTAAAGTGCTGACACAATGAATCCTATAAAAGCATGAACAGCCTTGCTCTAAAAATGTTTCTGATTGCTTTGGCTTCCTTTGCAGAGCTTGTGCTTCAGAACTGCTACAATAGGAGCAGTTGTGGTTGCTGATAATAGTGTGCCTTACATATGATTCTTATCTGCTCATCAAATGCTATTTTTACTTTACATATTGCTAAAACTTTTCCTCTGGTACATAGAGTGGCATTCATTTTACGTTTCCATTCTGGGAAGATTACTTGTAATGAACAGTCTCAAACTGAACTTCAGTATGTTCAACTTTTCAATAAAGTAGTAAATTAGATTTGACAGCAATTGATTTTGACTTGAGGTGTCACACCCTATCAAATCACAGGTATTTTATAGCACTTGTAATCAACTTGGAGTTAGTATGAAAAATTTACCAATAAATTTTCAGAAAATTTCAGAACCATTTGAAATAAAGGAGAGTGAATTTTCCTTTTGCTGAAATGTGCCATGTTGTCCTTGTGTGCTAAAGAGTACACAAGAAGCACAGATGTAACCGGACTTTTGGGAATAATCTAGCTCTAGTGTGAAGTGATCAGAAACAGGAAATCTGAATGGCCTACACTAAGCTGATTGTCATGGTTTATGTTGGTGACCCCCGTGCATTTGCACTTGCCTTTGTGATTGGTTCATTGTCTAGTGCTTGCATTGGGGTGTGTTACACTAGGCTAGGGGTGGAGCCAGCATGTAATATGATGGGAAGAAGAAGGTGTGTCTTGCTCTTTTGCCAGTTTCCTCCTTTCTGTTTGCAGCTGCCATGAACTGCAGCCCGGCCATGTCACTCTGCCTTGGAGCCAACTGAGTATGGACTGAAACCTCCAAAAACTGTAAGAAATAAACCTTTCCTTTCCCAATTTGGTGCATCAGGTATTTTGTGTCAGGGATGAATAAAAAAGTAACTAAGACATTGATGAAATACAGCCTGCATTATGAGGAGCCAAATGAATTTTACCTCCAAAAATATTGACAACACACAACTTCTTAATCACTTAGTTGTGAGTTTAGTTTACTGAAGATGACAGTAATTTTTTTTTTAAGTAGATGACTTTAAGAGATTTTTTCATGTGAACTTCATGTCAGTCAAATCTCTCTAAAGTGGGACTCTTTATTTTACTTTCCTTTAATCTTTTCCCGATAAAATTTTTTTACCACTTGCATTGATTTTCCTGCAAACTTTATGCTTATAAGACATTGTCTATGGAGGAAAAAAATAATATTGTACATTAATTGGAAGACATTCATATTCAATGACAGCGAAGGAAGCAAAGGTATATGAAGAATCTTAAAAATATAAGACTGCTAATTAAAAATCTATGCAAGGAAACTATTTTGCAACCAGGCATAATAATGGAAAATCATCCTCCCAAGAATCTGGTGAGATGGAATATGAACTTGGAAGAATTATAGCAGGTAATGTTAATGCTGTGACTCACAGTAAAGTCATGATTTTTGATATTTATAGTATAGCCACTAAAACATGTGCTTACTTATCTATCTATCTAATGTGAAACCACCTTTTAGAAGTCTGGCAGTATTCTTTTTTTCTCATTTTTAACCAGGAGTGAAAAGGCAAATCAACAGATATTTTAGAAATGAAAATAAGTAAAAATTAATCTACCAAAATGGAAAGTGGATCAAAAATATTAGCTAGGTAAAGAAAGGATAGTTTTAAACATACACACACACATATATATATATATATATATATATATATGGATGTGTACATGTGTACACATATCCACACAGATATCTAGGATTCTCAGAGACTGTCGAAAAGATAATATATTTTAAAAATTAGTACAAAAGAGGAGATTTTTACAATGTAGAGTGCTGAGCAACATAAATTCAGCCTCTGAAATTCTGCTCCTTGAAAATTAACAATGTACCAGAAAAACTAATAATGTACTGTTGTTAACATGGAAAAGAAATAAACAATTATTCTATAAATAAAAATACTACCCTAATATTGACATACAGGTAATGCATTAAATGTAATAGCTATATCTCTACTCATGGTAGAAAAGAATTCAACAGTAATCATATAGGGATCTGTCACACCCTATCAAGTCCTATTCATTTTATAGCACTGGTAATCAACTTGGAATTTGGATGAAAAATTTGCCAATAAAAATAGTAGAAAATACTGGGAAAAAACAACTGGAAAATACTGGAATATAACAATTTGGGGAAGAAAAATGGGTAGGTCTCTGGTAGATCAAAAAGAAACTGACAGCAAAATCAAAAGCTAGAGGGGGAGTGGGGATGAAAAGGAACAAAAGACACAAAGAGCAGAGACAAAATGAAGAATTCCAATGAAGTCTCCTTTATTCACGGAAGGAGTAACAAATATATAAGTATTGAGGAGGAGGGGTTTGGGTTTTGAGACATCAGCAGATAACTTAGCAGCAGTGGCAGGACCCATGGTTACAGGTCAATTCAAATTTCCCGGGTGTGGGCTCATAAGGCGGGCTGATTAACATAATTTAAAGTGGTACAGAGAGCAGATGTTAAGGTGGTATGGCCAGCAGGTGTTAAGGTGGTACAGCCTGCAGATAAAAGGTGGCAGCCAATTACAGGGCTTCCCACAAAAAGCTGCAGGCAAGATGAAGAGACAGACATCAACTCAGAAGGCAATGAAACCGGGTTTTCTCTACCATCTAATTCCACTGAAGCAAAATAAGCACTTGTGATTTCAAGGGGCCTCTCAGAGGAAGAGTCAATGGATTGGCACAGCAGGCTTCTGATCCACAGGGACATTGCAGAGTTTTCCTCTCACAGGAGCTGTTTCACAGGTAAAGGCAGAGGAGGAATCCAGTGCAGCCTTCCTCTGCATGCAGCAATGGTCACCATGCCAGGAGAAGAGGAGAGTTTAAGCCTCGAACTGAGAACAGCTGCTAAATGGGTTCACTTCAGATTTTCCAGTGTTATCCTCACAATGGCTGTGAGAGAAAATTATGGGAGACAGCTTCAGAGGGAAGTAGGCTGGAAAGAGATCCCGTGAGGAGTTTGAGCTCCAGCCTGGCAAACACAAGGTTCTACCTCTGTGGCCAGAGATCAGGCCTTGCAATTTGTTGTCTTGGGTTTATTGCTTGTATCCAGGGTGGCTTTGAGGTTCTGATTACTTTTCTTATATATGTATGATACTACTATAATAATTTAATTGATATTCACAGGGTTGTGTAATTGTTGCTATTAACAAATTTTCTATACAGGACAACACCGAGAAATCTTTGTGACATTAACAACACTGGTGTCCTTTTCCAGAAAATTGGGTGTTAGTCCAGTTGCATTTGATCTTCCCCTCCCAAATTAACAGAGGTATTCAGATCATGGAGTAAAGGCAAAAGGCTATGGTGAGTAATACACACTATACATCACTGAAAGGAAGACTAACTAAAGGGATCTCCATACTAGCAACAAAATCTTTCTACGCTATAGGCCTACAAACTAGTTTGAGGAAATTTTATAAAGACCACATTTTTGTAATATAAGACTCCAACTTTGTTTAATAAATATATCAAACTGCATAGTACCAGGCTGTCTTCTAATCAGCTAACAGAGCATTCATGAAAGAGCAAACTGAATGCTCTTTTCTTAATTATCATTTCTTCATTTAGTTCAGGTGCTTTACTATTATTGATTATTTTTCAGAATTAACTAGTTGTTAAGGTTTTCTCCTGGGAACATGACACTTGCATTAATTTATGTTTTCTTTGTTTCGGCTTTTGTATTACAATGGCAAAGCTCAGAATTTTCAACAGAAACAGTATGGTCTTCAAAAGGTGAAAATGTTTGTTACCTAGCTCCTTATAAAAAGAAAAGTTTGACAATCCTTGGTTAGGAGCTGTGGTTTTCAATGTGACTCCCAGACGTGCAATGTCTACACTACTTTGGAACTTCCTAGAGACACATAATCATGAGGTTTCCCAAAAAAATACTACATCAGAAATTTTAAAGACACAAGGCCAGCAGTAAAACGTATCTGATCTCAAAGCCAATTTTTATTCACATATATGTGTAAGAATCATTACTTAAGGCAAGAGTCAGTAAACGATGATTTATAGCATAAATCTATTTCTCCCCCATGTTTTGTGAGCCTTGAGGATTTTTACTTTATTTTCTTCCCCAAGTTGTTCTATTCCACTACTTTCTAGTTGGTTTTTTTCCAATATTTTTATTGGTAAATTTTTCATCCAAACTCCAAGTTGATTATTAATTAAAATATTATAAGAAAAATAGTATCTTGAGATTCTTCCAAATTAATATGAAATACACATTTTGATGTACAGAGATGCAGTTATATCAGAGCAAAGCCCTGTTCATTTAGTTAACTGTACTTTAGTTGGTAGCTGAAACTGTAACCAAATTTCCTTATTCCTGGATGAAAATATTATCAATGTGTAGTTTTTAGTACCACTGAATGGTAGAAAAATAAGATATTGTGCCTTAAATACTAGAAAATGATCCATTGAAATAAATGCCTCCTTCAAGAGACTCTCAGGTACTCAGTGTGGATTGCAATCTGCACCTGTGTTTTGGGAATGCCCAACTGTCAAAGGCAAGCCTCTGCAAACACTAGGACTCCTAGGCTCCTGAGAAGGAACAAATCAGGTGGAGAAAAACCATGAGAAAACAAATATTAAGCAAGCAATAACATAAGAAAATAGCTGTATCAATAGAATGAAAACCTGTCATTTGTAATATGAGGTTTTAAAGAGGAGAAAGTGATAGCATGTGTAAAATATTGATGTTTACCTTCTTTTGAAGCTTTCTTGCTCTGTATGCAGATCTTGTTAGATCAGAAGAACATGCTTCAAATCAGTTTGAAAGATGATTCTACTGTTGGGAACATTATGCATAAAAATTAGTAGTTTTGAAGGGATAGATTTTTTAAATAATGAAAAGGAAGAAGCTATAAATGAAAGAACAAATGAGGTAAATTTCCATTACCCAAGCGGTTCAAAGCTAACACAGCCTTCTTGATAATAATTCTAAGCACTTGAACTTAAATTCTTGAGAATTTCACATGCATCCATTGCTCATCTCGCACTTGCATTTAATGGTTGCTATGGGTGACCCAGAAATGAAACCAATCATGGCACTGTAATTTAAAACTAAAACAGCTGGCAAAAATCTTTCCTCTCAGAGCATGTTGTCATAGAAGTAAATGAAAAGGTCGGGAGACTTTTCATTTGCTTCTGTGATAACATGAACTACTTGAACTAAGGAACATATTAATGTCTCCTCTGCAGCTTTCTATTATGTGTCAGGAGCCCCATTCCAGGATATCACAGTGGAGGTGATAGAAAAAGACAGATGATACAATGAAACAGTTGGTCCTAACACAAAATAATCAGGCATTTTTATATTTCCACTTTACATTACAACAGGAAACCTGATTAGATTCTGTGGTTTTACCTAAAAATAAACCGAGCTCAGAAGGGAATTTTTTTCTATATTCACTGACTCTTATTATAGAAGAATTTCTTTAAAGGCACAGACACAGAATATAGTTTATACTTTTCATATTAAAGCCAATAAGCTCCAAAAGAAAGTTCTCATATGTCAGTTCACATATTTCAAATATTGTCATAAAGCTTTTTCTAGAAAATAAATCTGCATTTGAAACTCTGAATATGACATTGGAACAGCAAAATCTATTAGAAATTAAAATCTACTATTTAAAAAGAAAATATTACAAAACACCATTTAAAATTAAAATATAAGTTCTATTAATTGGACTCTGCTTAGTATAAATTGAATTTAAACACAGGATACGACTCTATTATAAATTAAGGAGCATCTGCATTTCCTTTTACCTAACTAAAATTGGATCAATTGAAAAATTATTGAGTAATAGTCCATTTCAGATGAGAGCAATTATTAATTGTTTGTTGGAAACTATCCTTTAAAGGCAAAATATGAAAGGCAAATTTACCTAAATAATCCTTATCACATACAAAAATTAATAATATCAAATAACAGATGAAAAAATATGTCATATATTTTAAACAAAGCTGCCAATCGAAGGAAGTTAAATGTATACTTTGTTTTATTCTAACACAATGTAGATGAGTCCAAGGGTTGTTCCATGTTTTATTAGGAAACTGTTTTTGTGGGACAGCTAAAAAGGGCTACCCAAAAATTACCCTGAATATTCAAAACATCCAAACAAAGGGGAGAGGAATGGACAATTATAAATAACTCTATGATAGGGATGGAATTTTAAGCTACAAAATCTGTGGCATGGCAGTTAAAGTACAGGCAAATCTTGTAATCATCATTATTATTAACATTAGCTATAATCAGGGGGAAAATAACAAAGTGATTTTCTTCAGTTACAACTTCCAAGACACACTGCTGTGTGGTGTTTCTTCCAAGATTTAATAAGAAATATGATGATAAATGTCATCTGCTAATGTTTTTAAAGGCAGCCAAGATTAGAAGATAGGGTTGTTAATAATTGTGCATTAGATGGAAGGAATCTGAACATAAACATTCTCATGACAAAAGAGCTACTATTGGTTTTGAAAGCTAGTATGGAAAATACATTTTTATTTTTAACTCTGGTTTGATTATCATCAGAGCTGTAAAAGTTAATTCCTTTTCTATTATTTCCACTCATTCTAAAACGTTATCATAAACCTGTAGTTGCCTACTTTATCAGAGAAATGATTACTTTAAAAAAACTCATAAAGGAAATGTGTGTATTGTAATAATTAAAACTTTGAGGAAAAAAATTTAAAATGATGACACATGCTCAATATCCTGCTTGTATGTGACAGTCTGGCTTCTTTCAGTACAACTTGTATTGATATTCAGCAATTATTTGATTGAAAGTAGTAGCATCTTGGCAATGACATATGATCACATGACAAGACTATATGTAAATGCATATGAACTTACTACACTTTTAAAGAGCAAGAGTGACTTGTTCTTAAAATGGTGATAAATTTACAGATGGCTTAAAAATATTATCAATATTCTCTTAAACCCCAAAATGTGCAACTATGATACATTGTGGTTTTGTTTGATAATTGAAAATAATTTAAGTTTCCAAACAAGCTTTCCTTTCTCTCAATTTACCTGTAATTAATAGAGTCTCGATGCTATTATGCCTGACTCTAGTGATTTCTATATCACGAGAATGGTTGGTTACCTTTGGAACCAGAGACAACAAGATGGTACTTTCAAAGCCCACAACCTACAGTACATGCAAAGCACTACTCAAAGCAACAGATTCCCCTTGTCTTTTACAAACTGCATTTTGTAGTTTATGGATCACATTAGAAAAGGGAAAGAAAGAATGTTAAAACATTCAAAAAGCTAGATTATCTTTATCAGCAAGAATTATGCTATCACTCATTCAGCATTAAATATTTAATTTCCTCTTGGTGTATTTTTTGATAGCAAAACTATCTTACAGCCAGGGTCTTCTACAATAGCAGACCTCCTCTGTCCCTTAGTCATTCAGCCCAAGCCAAAAATGTCTTTTTAAACATTGTCAGGCGGCCTGATTCCCTTTGTGAAGTCTCTTGACTAACATGGAGATGCTGACATTTAACTAACAAATTTTCACTGAGATGAATGATTTAAGACAAGTGGCATAAATGACTTCAAAGTATTCACAAATTGAATCCAAGAATCAAACTATGCTGAACAGCAGCCTTATGGGCTTACTTTGTACCCATGTCAAAAGTTCAGCTTTTCTTTTTGGGAGAATATGAAACCAATGCTCTGCATGATAATTCCTGTCTTAATTATTTTATCAAGTTCTTATGCAAATGGATGTTTTCAAAGACCAGAAATCTCTTTAACATTTAAGGGTTACACATTAAGAGAACAAATAAATATGCAAAGTATATACATTCCAGGCACCCTGCTGTGGATAAGCTTAGAACTCCTAATGCCTTGGTAACTTAAGTGATAGTAAAATCCTGAGACTAAGAATTGATTAACACTATCTTTAGCTCTTTATTTTATTTTATTTGATCCAATTGGCTTTTTAATTTAAACTTTTATTGAGATTGAGATTATTATAGATCCATTGGCATTAAGAAATAACACAGATTGATGGTGCTTAGCTGTCACTCAGTTCTGCTGAAGGGTGAAATCTTGCATGACTGTGATATAGGATGACATTGATATGATCTATTGATCATGATCAAATTTCATTCACTTTATCTACACTCCTTTCTCTAGTCGCCACTACAGGTAAAATAAAAGTAACAGTGTCATTATATGAATCTTTTCTGCTGTCTCATATCTACATCCATCTCCTTCCATAGATTCCAGACCCCAACATATGATGACCACTAATATGCTCTTTACCTATATAATTGTGTAATTTCAAGAATGTTACACAGTGTAATCACTCAGCACATAATCTTTTGAGATTGTTTTTCAAAAAGAATACTTCCCTGAATGTCTATCCAAGTTGTTGCAAGTACTCATAATTCATTGTTTTTTGTTGCTGAGTAGTATTTCACTATATGAAAGCATTTCACTTTGTTTAACAATTTACAGTTGAAAGATTTTTTACTCATCCCACCAATCCTGGAATCCCAGGAAACTGGGGCCTTGAATTTTAAATAAATTGCTTGGTATCACTCAGATGGAAGAGATTTAGTTTAGATTTGAATCCAGGTGATCTGGCTTAGAAGCCTGAATTTTTTAATTCTACATTAACTATTCTTATTATAACACAATTTTGACAAGAGGGAGAGAGAAAATTGGTCATAAGATTTACTTTAAATGACTTCTAATATAACAGCAAAGGATTTAAACAAATTAACATTAGCCAATCTAATGTTAGAATTGTGATTTTTTTTTTCAACCATAGCAATCCCACTTAAGGTATCATTAATAAAGATATAAAATAATGCAAGGGAACTCAGAGACTTCCTGGGAGGTTGCTTTTGTAGGCAATCAACCAAACAGATTCATTTGTCTTTTTTTGTATTCCAAAGTAAACCTATGAGAGTTAAACACAACAAACTGAGTTAAACATAAAGCATGTCAAGGGCAATGTATAGTTTTTTAATTCTTATATACACACCTTTCCTTTGCATGGTGTTTCACCGTGATAAGTGAGGTGCACAGCAGACTCTTCGTAAATTACAAACCCCGAGATAACTTATAAGCAACATTGCACATATCACAACACTCTTTTCTAGCAACAGCTGTTTATTGTAGGTGACCTTCTGCTCAGTTACCAAACCTGGGTTATTTAGAGGTAATTATATGTACTGTAAACTTTACATATATTGGTGTGGAACTGTTTAGAGGTTATTTAAATGTGTTGATACTTTCTTAGAGTTCCCTATCTTATCTTCTAAATAAAAGAAACAATTCAAGGTAGGGTCAATTTGCATGATGAAATTTTTTAAATAGTGATTTTCCTTTTAAAAACTCTAAATACGCATTTGACTAACATGAAATATACATTTTTATCTCACTTAGATTTTGGTTAGTATTTTATTAATTATTTAGATTTCCTAATAATCACAATGTCCAAAAGAAATAAATTCCAAAATGCTTACCCAGTTTTATATGCATTTCTCTCCCTTGTTTTTAACTTAACACTATGCAGTATCTCTCTACAGTCAGTAAAATGTGGCAAAACACAATAAAATGCATCCAGAGAAATACAGAAATCTAGACCTTGAGAAAAATGCACAGACAATGTAATCCAGCTTCTTTGCTATGAGTATTCAAAAAAGAAGTGAAAATGTGGAAATCTTAAAATTCACCACTAGAGAAAGATCATAGACATAATGTTTTATATATGTTATGAAGAGCTCTGCAGCAAAGGCACTGGTGAGGTTTGTCCAATGGAGG